AAAAAAAAAAAGCAAAAAGAAACATGCATCCCATGTAATGAGACTCATTTTCTTGTGCATGCAGCTCATAGTTGGCTGGTGAGGGCAATTACAAAAGCAAACTTTCAAAAAGATTTTGAACAGTGGCAGCCTCAGTAGAATGAGTTATATTTTGTACCAAGTGACTTCTTTGACTGGAACAACACTTATTTAATATGTAAATTTGGTATGTCTAACAATCAGTCTCATTATTTTATGATTATGTACTGAATATTTGCCACATAGATTAAAAACCTAAACCTCTTAGACAGTATGGTTGTGTGAGGAAAAAATAATGGCTTTGAAGAGGTAGAGTATAGAATCATACTTACAGAAAATGAGCTTGGCCCTTTCTTCTGGAGATTGTTTATACTTTATTTCATTTAATTTTATTAACCATAGGGAAAGTTATTTTACACGTACGAAAATTAAGACTCAAACTTAAGTTAGTTTGATTAATTCAAGTTACCTTTTCTAGTTAAAGCAGTAGTCAGTAATTTCATGATTTATCCAGGTCCTAATCGAAGCCTAGCTCTATTTGTTATCTAATGAAAACAGATTTTTCCACTAGTCTAGGGGTTAGATTCTATATTTGTGTAGTTTTTCTTAATTATTTAGAAGAAAAGCATGAATTCTCAATAGAAAGAAAAATACATGTGGCCATATCATGCCTAGGTACATCAGTAAATAGATGACAGTTATTCATACTTATATTTTTACTTCTAGCTATGTTTGTCTGACAGATGATGGTTATTACTGCCAACCAGTCAGATTTAGAAAGTTCACAGTTTAAAAACAGGTTGCACTAGAAAATTTATAAACAGATTATTTGGAACTCTTGATATTCATAGAAATAGGGGTTGGGTTCCTGAGCAACTCACAGAAAGCCGGTTAACGTATTGTACCATGGACTTCTAGAGAGTTTTGTCACTTTCCATTCTGTTGAAAAACTACTTTACATCCTTTGCTATGTTAGTAGAGAGCCTCCTACTGTGGAGAGTTGGCAGTGGGGTCACCAAACAGGTTTTTGCCTCTCCCCCGTCTTTGGAGCAAAGGACATTTTCCTCTTTCTTGCGTACACAGCACTGTGCCCCTAGGTGAGTGGTAATAGCAGCTAAGACATGAGATGCTTTCTACTGTGGGTGTTTTTAATTTGGGGAACATTTGAAAATGTACACATTTGACATTTGTTATCAGTCCCTAATTTTGAAGAATAGTGATTTTTTTAAAAAACACAATAGGAGGCCAGGGATTTAGCTCAGTGGTTTCGCCACCTGCTGTGCGAGCGCAAGGACCTGAGTTCGATCCCTGGTACCAAAAAAAAAAAAAAACACACCGAAAGAGGACCAAGGAAAAAGCTCAGTGGCACTGTTGCCTGACTTGCAAGCGCAAGGTCCTGAGTTCAATCCCCAGTATTGAAAAAAATCCCCAAAAAAACCAAAACAGGATATAAAAAGTTCTGTCTGTCTGTCTATCTATCTGTCTATCTGGGCATGTACCACATAACAATGTTTCAGTCAACAGTGGACCCAGTGTGTGACAGGGGTCTCATAAGATTGTAATGGAATTGAGAAATTCCTATGACCTGGTGACATCATGGCCATCATGAAGTGGCTATATACTCATTGCTCACATGTTAGTGGTGACAGTGGTGGGGACAAGCCTGCTATGAAAGTATAACACATACAGTTATGTACTGTGTATGATAATTAATGATAATAGGCAACAGTATTACTGGTTTACATTTTATTTACATTATATATATATATGAATGAGATGGGGGTCTTATTATCTTGCCCAGGATGACTTTGAACTCTTAGGTTCAAACAATCCTCCTGCCTCAGCCTCCTGAGTAGCTGGGACTATAGACATGTGCTACCATGCCTTGCTACTATACTATTATCATTTTTGGAATGTACTTTCTACTTATACAAAAAATGGGTTTTTTAACCATTATTTTTAAAGTTAGTTAGGGTTTAAATTGATGAGTATCTAAATTGAGGATAGGCCTTAAAAGTACTTACAAGTCTTAGGTTAATAAACTAAACTCTTTAGCAAAAAAGAAAATAACCACTTCTACCTTTAATGCTATTATAATATGCTTCACTGTATTTACCTTATATTTTCTAGGTTTTTTTACGCACATTTTATTAGATGAAGCTGCCCAAGCCATGGAGTGTGAAACTATTATGCCTCTAGCATTAGCAACTAAAAGCACTCGGATTGTTTTGGCTGGTGATCACATGCAGGTAAGTGCCCTCTCAATCATTGTATTGAAAATAACTTAATTATATTTTGATGTTTAATATTCTGTTTTCCAAAGCGTGCTGTGAAATTGTGCATGTATTATAGTTTAACCACTTTAAGTATTTCCGTACAAATGGTGAAAAATACTAGTATTTATGAAGAAAAATTACCATTCTACCACTCTTTCTTTTCTGTTTAGATAATTTGGGATGACTGAGAATCTTATCAGTATTATGGTTTTTATGTTTATTAATTTTTGAAGCTCATTTCTCTTTACTATGAATATTTGACAATTTTGCCCTTGGTGCTGGGAACTAAACCAAGGCTTCATGCATGCCAAGCCAGCACTGTATCACTGAGCCACACCCAGCCCTCTTTTCTTTATAAATCAAATTTAAATTATTCTTCCTGCAATTCCCTGTTTCTAATACCTGTTTTTTTAAGGATTAATTTTTTGATATCATAAACAATGAGCTTAATTAAAGATTACGGTCAAAAAATCTCAAAGCATATGTCAGATTTTATGTACTTGAATACCTATATATAAGAAAAAGAGATATAATTTTTCTATAAAGATAGCTGTTTTATAGAGTTGCAGTTTGGAGTTCTTTTCTGCCACAGTTGATTTAAGATTGCAACTCCATGATATTAGAGCTGTCAAGACGCCCAGGAATAAGATGAATGTAGAGGAATAAAATCTGTTTTGATCTTTTGCCTGAAGTAGTTTGATTTTGTTCTTTAACAGTAAAAGGTATAACCTAGAATGACTACTTATACCTTATGAGATCAAGAGATTTTTGTTAATTATTAAAAATAATCTTTTAATCACAGTCTATATGTCCTACCAGCTCATCATTTTAAAAATTGATTAATTTTGGTGAAATAACTGCTGTGATTCCCCTAGTGGTGCAGTGGGTTGCCTCCCTGAAGTTAATGAAGTAGACACTATTTGTTATTTAGAGGAGGCTTACATGTAGAAATTCTAGGTTAGTGTTGATATACTGCAGTGAAGAATTAGAAATTTTAGTCTAGGTCCCTAAAATAAAATGATTTATAGAAAATACAACAGGGCCGGGGATGTGGCTCAGTGGCACAGTACCTGCCTGGCAAGTGTTAGGCCCTGAGTTCAAGTCTCATACCAAAACAAAACAAAAAATAATATAACTGATTTTTTTTTTGTGCTCCAGCATTCAGCATGTTGTATTTTAGAAGTTTTAGTATTGTAAATTTTTATAAATAGGCTTAAAAAATACTATTTATGTGTTAAATTTTCTTTGTATCTTTTGTCTGTTACAGCTCAGTCCTTTTGTTTACAGTGAATTTGCCAGGGAGAGAAACCTTCATGTTTCGTTACTTGATCGACTTTATGAGCATTACCCTGCTGAGTTTCCATGTAGGATCCTTCTATGTGAGAACTACCGCTCCCATGAAGCTATCATCAAGTAGGTGTGAACTGTCCCCTCTGATTCACACCCTTTCTGTGGTCTCTGGGAGGGAACTCAGATCAGCATGTTACTAGGCACAGGCTATTCCCAACAGGTTATGTGATGTCCTTAGTGTTATAAATTATGTTTAATTTTATATTTTTAAAAGAGCACTCCAAAAATAATAGTGGTGATTTTTCACAAAATAAGGCATTTGTAGGAATTAAAAATTTAGGTTTGACTGGCTATGATACATTTTTCTGTGACTAATTATATAATTTATATAAAAAACTACATGCTATAATAAATATATTGGTAACTCCTATAATAGTTATCTACCTCTTCCTGTATTGTACAACAAATCTATTTTAAAAGAAAGGAAGAAATGGGTTGGGGATTTAGCTCAGTGGTGCTGTGCTTGCCTGGCAAGTGCAAGGTCCTGAGTTCAATTCCTGGTACCAAAAGAAAAAAAAAAAAGAAAGAAAAGAAGAAAGAAAATCAGGCAGGGAGGGAAGAAGTTTTTTAAGGACTTCTTTTAAATACAGTCTGCATCGATGAAAGGGAGCATATCCTTAGTGGCAGCTCAGTGAGTAGTCACACCCTGCACAGACCACGTAACGAGCATGCAGTTGAAGAAACAACATTAGTGTCAGTCTGGAAGCCCTTTGTGTTTCTTTCCAGGCATTATGCCCACCAGAAACTTAAACTTCTTTAGAATTTAGTATAATTTAATAATATTGGTGAGGTCACTCAAGTTAAAACCGCTTTTAGGTTTCTCTGAAAGCAATTGGATAGGTAATACTTTACCAGTGTCTCAAAATAAGATTCCTCTTTCTGTTGCCAGTCATTTGCTACAGTCAGTGATGAGTCAAATACTAAATGGCATCTTCTCCAGTAGCAAGTATTTGTTTTACAGCTGAAGCCTTGAACATCCTGCAGTTGGGTGCATTGTGTCAGTGTCTGTATCTGAATATTTCCATGTACGGTCATGCATCAACGACATAATACAGTCTCTGAAACATGTCATTGGGAATTTCATAACTGTGAATATCCTAGAGTGTACTTACACAAACCTAAATGGTCTGTGACAGCCACCTGACCTGTCCTTTTAATGCGTTCAAGAGATACTGTAAACATGAGCTGTTGGGCTGCAGCTGATGTAACACAGCATACTGTTTTATAATAAACAATGGTAAAATGTATCAAATACATGAACCCCTGACATAGTCTTTATTATGATTATCAAGTATGATGTACTGTACATAATTGTATGTGCTATACTTATTACTTATTATTTACATCAGCATCACCACAAACACGTGAGTAGCACATTGTGGTGTGATGTTATGATGGCTGTGATAGGTTAGTCAAAAAGTTGTTATGTGGCACATAACTGTATAAATACATGATCTATATAAGTAGATGTATATGTTAACCAAGAAAGTATACTAGTTAGTATATTTTCTCATAGAACAAAGGTCTCAACTAGCATTGAATTATCATAATTTCTTCCTTTTCTATTTTCTGGCTTCATACCATACCAAAATCAACTCATTTATCAGTGTTATACCAGGAGAGTTCTCTGTTGTTACTACTGTGGTTATTTTTGGAGAAATTACTGGAATCATAAGTACTCAATATTTGGACTAAAAGTACTGTAATCGTGGACATAAAGCTATATTAGAATTTGACTGAAGTTTTGTGGGGGAGGTGGGTAGAATTATTTTGATGATAGATTACATTTTTGAATTTTTCTTTTCTCTGCAGTTATACCTCTGAACTTTTCTATGAGGGCAAACTGATGGCCAGTGGAAAGCAACCAGCACACAAGGATTTCTACCCACTGACTTTCTTTACAGCACGAGGGGAAGATGTACAAGAAAAAAATAGCACAGCTTTTTATAATAATGCTGAGGTACTTTAGTTTCCTTTTTATATAGTTGACATTTTCTCGGTCATTCTCTCAGACATTCTCTCAGTCTGGTTTTGTTGAGCATTTATTTAAAATTTTGGGTTGACATTTTAATATTTGTTGATTTCATGCAAATAGTGTTAAATTTATTCTTTTATACAATGGTATGTTAAGATCAGTCTCCTATAGGAAACAAAAAATTGATTTACTTTTTGTCTTAGTGATAAAACACAAAATACATGATTTCATTTTTTAAAAATTGACATTATTCCCATAGAGATCATTATTGGTAGACATCTAAAACAGAGTCTGATTAAATTTTATAGTATATCCTCAAAGGAGGTATTATTCGTAATGTGTAAGACTTGAATTGCAGAATCCTCTGCTCCGAAGGTATCACACAGTCCCAGATACTGTTGTTGCTATCCCATTGTGTGCTGACTTACATGGTCCTCTTCCAGTTTCTGGCTTTCAGAGAGACTGTGAGATCAGGCAGCAGACAAAAAAACATGGTGAAGTCTTGTTAGGGGCTAGCAAGCCAGAACCCTTGGGTAAGGTTTTGGCAGTTGCAAGAGACTTCAGGAAACCCAAAGGAGACAGGAGTGGATGGTTATCCTTAGGGGAATAGTTTCTGTCCTCTGAGCTCTGCTGCCCTTGAATCTCACAGTTTATTCATTTCATTTACAAAGAAATGGTTTTTACTGTGTACCAGCAACTCATATCCCCTCCAGGACAAGGGATTGAATCCAAAGCCTTTAAATTGAACTATATCCCTAGCCCTTTTTATTTTGAGACAAGGTCTCACTGAAGTTGCCTAAGTGGGACCTTAAACTTTCAATCTTCTCATTCAGCTTCCCTTAGTGCTGAGATTATAGGCATATACCATACTACAATGCCCAGCTCATCTTTCCCTTTAAAAATTGATAAGAGAGCTATAGTTGGAAGTCAGTGCAAGAAAATCGTCAGTACCACTTGATAAAACCCTACTCCAGAGCCAAGAAACTTGACGTTTTTGTTAGTCCATGCCATTTAGTTTTAGGAAAAGATAAACTTTTCTTTAAGTCTTTGAAATATTGAGAATAACTCTAGGGTTCTGCATTGTTGTTTTGCATTTGGATTGCAAACCACTGGCCTCGAAATTATCCATGGAGCTGGGCCTAAAATCCAGAAAGTTTCGTATTCCTGCTTCCAGGAATCACAGCTGAGCCCTAATTTGCCTTGGCCCTGAGATGGGGTTGATATTTGCCCAAAGCTGTTTCTCAGCCTGGATTACTTGTTCTTTCACAATGACCTGCTATATTTTCCAGGGAATATATAAGCTATAGGATAAAGTACATCTTCCTGGGTTGTCAGTTTTACTCAAAAACTTTTGGGGAAAAATACATACTTCATATTAAAAAGCACAGTGGCAACGTTTGTATAACCTTTAAATATTAAACATGTAATTTTAGAGAAATTCCAAGCCACCTTGAACTTTACCAGAGCACAGTTATTTATTCATGTCTTCAGTCACATGAGTTAATTACCGTCAAAAATTTGAGACATATTCTGCCAGGGGCTTTCTCTACAAGGAGCAAAACCTGATCCTAGTTCACTGGAGCTGTATACCAGTGTACACATTTCAAAGTTATGAATACTGGAATAAGTCTATTTGGGTATCAGTATGCCATTCTTGGACAGTAAATGTTTAAAAGCCCTGGTCTTTTTTCTTTTCTCTCTCTCTTCCCCTCCTTCCTCCCTTTCTCCTTCCCTCTCTCTTTTCCTTCCTTTCATACTGGAAAATGAACCCAGGACCTTAGCACTGAGCTACATCCACAGCCCTTTTAAATTTTTTATTTTGAGACACTCATTTGCCCATCTGGGCTTCAATTTGTGATCTTTCTGCCATACCCTCCCAGAGTTCTGGGATTATAGGGCTGTACCACCATGACCAACTCCTAGACTTTTCTTGATGGTGAATAATTTAAAGGTGAAACTTTTGTATCATAGAGTAAGTCAGGTGGCACTAAATACATTGATAGGGAAAAGATGAGATCTCTTGTAAGGATTCTCACCAAAATTTAAGAAGCCACTTGAGAATAGTTAAATTCCACTATTATGATGGTAAGATAGTCTTACTTACATAGAATTGCCATCAAAATGGACTTAAAACAGAGGTTGGAGTTGAAAAAGAATCTCTAGTAGAAGGAATACTGTACTTAATTTTTGCTGCTTTAAGAAATGTATCTTTTAAAACTATATCAGTGCCTTGCTACAGCATATTAATGTGTATCTTCTTTCTCATGTTTAAAATGATAGAATAAGAGAAAGATTCTTCACTCTGAATTAAAATCTCACAAATAATGCAGTGGTCTCAATTTAATGCATAATTTAAATACTTAAGCACTGAGACATGATTCCTGACTTTGAGAGATTCAATCTGAAGAGAGAAGGAATGGGAACAAATAACCAGAAGATAGAATAAGTGACAGATGAGGTTGTACAGATATGGAGAATGAATCCATTGAGTTTTGTGGGGCTTGAGTCATAGAGGAGAACATGATTTTTGCTTCATATACTTTGGGAATATGTATTTTTTTAGTATATGTGTTTATAATTGCTGTACCTTCTTGATGGATTGATCGTATTATTGTAAAATGTCCTTTGTAGATAATAAATTTCTTGTTTAAAAGTAGGTTTGATATTAATAATTACTGCAGCTCATTTATGATTGCTGTTTGCATGGTTTATCTTTTTCTGTCCTTTTGTTTTCATCCTTTTTATATCCTTCAATCTAATGTATGTCTTCTGTAGACAGCATATCATTTGATTTTTTTTTAATCTAGTCTGAAAGTCTGTCTTTTGATTGGATTGTTCAGTCCATTCACATTCAGTATTACTACTGATACTTTTTGACCTCTGGCTTTTGTTTTGTGTTTTGTTTTTGCATCACGTTTTTTTCCTACCCTCTACTTCTCTTTTACTGCCTCCTTTTGTATTAAATACATATTTTCTAATATCATATTTTAACCCATTTTATTGTTTATGTACTTTTTATTTGTTTACTTAGTGGTTTTGCTAGAGTTTATGATATATATCTTAGCAGAATCTACTTCAAATTTACGCTAACTTTCAATGATGTATAGAAACTTTACTTCTACACAGTTCTATTCCTTCTCTTCCTTTGGTTCTGTTTTTTAATACATAGTATACAGAACAAACTGAATAATACATTCTTATAATTATTACTTTCTATAACCTTATGTATTTAAAAAATTCTAAGAAAAGAAAGACTTTTCTATATTAACCTTATTTTTCTGATTCTCTTTTTTTGTGGAGTACCATCTATGTCATTTTCCATCTGGCTCCTGTCTTTTATTGTCATGAATATTACCTTTCTTTGTTATAGTCTAATGTGTAATTTTATGCAGTTACTCTTTAGACCAGTTAAGAGGAGAAAGGAGAAGAAATGCTGTTACATGTATTTTTTAAAAAAAATTACCCACATAATAACCTTTTTAGCAACACTTTCTATAGATTGGAATTATTATTTGGTGACACTTGCTTTTAGCCTGAAGAATTTCCTTTAGTATCTCTAGTATGGTAAGTCTTCTAGTAAGGAATTCTTACAGATTTTGTTTATCCAGGGTTGGATTATCTTTATTTTTCCTTCATTCAAATCCTTTACAAAAAGTTTTGTTGGATGTAAGATTATTGGTTGAGTTGTTTTATTTTCCCCTTTTCTCCATATTGAAATAAGTTTTCCCACTGCTTTCTGCCCTCCATTGTTTTTTTGATAAGAAGTCATGTGTTAATCTTATTGGAATGTCTTTCTAAGTGATGTGTTATTTTCTCTTGCTATTTTCAAGATTTTATTTTTATCTTGAATTTCAACATTTTAGTGTTCATTTGATGTAAGTGAAGTTCATTGAGCTTGGATTATAGATGCATTTTTTTTTCATAAGATGGAAGTTTTTAAGCATCATTT